GGGGGGGTGTGCGTGTGTGTGTTTTAACTCTCTTGTCCCTCTGTTTCACCGTAACTAATATTAGTCTTCACGTAAAAAAATAATCTTTTAACGCACCTTGCTGTTTCAAATAATATAATATTATAGGTGAAAACGAACGAACGGGAAGACCTATTCAAATACCGAAGAAGCGAATGCCAAATACTTGCTCTAAGCGTATAAACCCAGCATAAATGATAAAAATGATAACAGGAAAAAGTTGACTACTGACATTTCAGGGTCTTCTATTGTACCTGTCGGTCTAGGCTGAGGCAAGTGTACCCCGGGGTGCCATAAATCTTTCTTCCCGTCAGAATCCACTATCTACCCCCGTCTGTGCCTTGTGTCAAATTTTGCGTGAGCAACATGGAAAGACGAATGATTTACTATCCTCAATACCCGAGGCATTTTATTTGCCGAAGACAAAATAAATTAGAAAGAAGTTGGGGCCACTAGTTTTCTTTTCAAAATTTTTTAGCCATCTAATAAACTTTTTCGTAGATAAAGTGACAGTCGGGTAACGTTTTTTCTCCCTAATAACGTGCTGGGGGACTTGTTTTTTTGTCCGACCCCCAAACTCACCCCTCCCCTGCTTATCGACGAAGGAAGGTGGGTGTTCGTTCGGAGGGAGAAATGAGGCGAGGAGATTTAAGATAAAATTATAGATCGTCGTTTCAGACACCTTGTAGCAACGGTTATGACGAAAGTGTTTTCTGTTCGTGATGAATTAGCTGTTTTTGAAGTCGGGTAACTGTGTCACTTAGTGTAATCACCTAAGATTTCGAGTGAAGGAATGTATAATAATAAAAGGTAGACCCGTCAAGACAAGGCAAGTTGGAAATACGGGATATAGTTACTTTTTCAAAGATTCAAACTGCCAGAAAGGGCCAGAAATTCTTTCTCGCCCCTTTCGGGTTAATCTTTTTGCTTCCTCACATCATGCTCAAATCGTATGTTTTTTGTTGTTGCTTGTCGCTTAATTTCGCGTAATTCAACAAATCACTCTGATTGGTTTTGCGAAATAAAGCATGCAATGATTAAATTTGGTATTATGTTAGTAACCAACCCCGCTCGAAGTATACTTATATCGCCAGACGTGATTGTCTTCAGATAGTGAGTCCCTGGATAAATTATAGCATCATAAACGGTGCACTGTCTGAGTCACCGTGCTTTGTTCTCTATAAAATCTTCACTGAGTTCAAGCTCACCATGGGAACCGAAAAGAGGGGTAATTATAATAGGTCATACTGGAGCAAAGCAGACATTTCTGCGCGGACAAAGGACCAAAAGTTTAAAATAATAGAAGACTCTATATTACAGTCTAGTAGAAACGAAGAACGTGTCAAAAGCGTATGACATAATATAGAATTGGACACAGAAGAAATAGAAAGGTCCATTTATTCTATATTCTATTTTATGTCGTATGAGTCTTAATAAAATCTCGGCCACTTCTTCCCCATCATTTGATGATTTCATATTGATAATTATACGTTAACGGTGTCCTCGCCCGGGGCCGAATAGTGCTTATAACAGTGCATTTTTACAATTTTATTTTATTTTTTATTTTTATTTTTATT